TACTATTTTTAGAAACATATTACTACACGTAAAAAAATCATTGTTGTCAAAGAGTAAATAATTGGTTGAATTGTTTTTTTTTTTATAAAAATTTAATGTAATTGTTATAGAATAAAGAAATCAATTACTAAGTAGACAATCTGACGTGATTTTTTATGTTGTTTTTATTTAAATATTTATTTACCTTTGTTTATTTTTTTTTTTCAATTTAATTTTAGTAAAATAAATATTATCAGAAAAAAAGAAAGAAAAAATGAAAAAATAATAACACCGGCGAGAATAGTTATCTTGTAGCTGTTGAACACAATCATTGGAGTGCAAGCAATTAAAGTGTGATAGGAGGAAATCTTGCTTGGGATATTAAGCAGTGGTTGATAAAGCAGAAAAAAACAAATGAGGCAAAAAAATAAGTTAAGAGCAAAAGCTAAAAGCGCCAAATGTTGTATAGATATAAATAAAGAAGATAAATAACTAAAAATGAAATAATATTCACATAATAAATACTTTGTTAGTAAATTAGTTAACTAAAACTTAATTCACAAGAGCTTATTTATCTACATTTTTTTCATTTAATTACATTCAGAGCTTTTCTATTTTTACTTGGACCATAAAATAGTCTTGAACCTCAAAATTACGTGTATATGTTTATCGTTTCATTTTATATTTATTTTAATGGAAAAAAATTATTTCTAAACCCTGAAAATCTATTGTTTCAATGTAATTCAGTTTTATTGTTTGATCACTCATCCAACATAAAAATGGTAAAGTTTGTTTTGGTTTTCGAAATGACTTGCTAATGGTTCAATGATTAAAACCTTGTCAGTACATTTCTCTGTTTCATTTATACATGAGGATTGATGCATCCATGTGTAAAGATTTCAAAAAGAGTAGAGTTTTCTGGTTCACATTTAGTATGTTGTATAGAAGTGTTGGGATATAGTCTTTTATTGAATATACGCTCGTTTATCCTGTGCACGTAATTAATGTGATCATGGGGATAAGAGAATTCTCACGAATTGCATACGACTGTACTTCTCATCCGAATTCAACCCTTGCTTTCTACTATCTCTACCACGGTCTCACTACCTTTTGGCATTCTACGTCTTTTACTAATGATCTCGTTACTTGAACTATTTATCACGTTTCTCGTGCTTGGACGGTTTCTAATTAATTAACGGAAGACCTAACTCATTGCCATTTTTTGTTTACTTTTTTCACATGATACAGAAAAATTTTTTACTTGTCACTCGTTAGGAAAAAAAAATAAATAAAAATAATAGATTCATATTAATATTAATTTTTTTAAATAACTTCTGACAATGATACATCTCGTCACAATGAAAACTTTGCTTCACAAAATTACAATAAAAAGTAACGAAAAGAATTAGAGACATTGTTAAAGTAATAACGATAAAAATTTGCTTAAAAAGAAAGAAGAAAAAAATCCAGGTGAATTGTATCGTTTATGACTTTTTATCACTTTTTTTCACTTTAATAAACTTTAGTTAACTTTCTTTTTCATTATTTAACTATTTAATTTTTATTCATCACTTTTTTTAAATATCTTTTTTATTCTATCGTTGTGTAAATATTGAGGCTCAAGCTGTAATGAGTTCTATTTCCAAGCTGCAATCAACAAAAAATATCAGTCTCATTATGAGCTGTATTGAGAAAATTTTGTCTATTTTTTTATTATCATTCAAATAATTGTTCAATATATTTTCATGGGAATATTTTTTATCACACATATCAAAAGCAAAGAAGCTCAGCAAATTTATTGGGGCTTTCTAGTGTGAATTGAACTACGGTTATTAATTAACTCTCTTAGTGTCAATGACACCTTTAATGAAATAAAAAAAAGTAACTTACAGTGTCTCTGTTGCTTTCAAGTATCCATTTTCTTCAGGAAATTCGATCTTAAATTTAAATTCAACGACCCTGAAAATTAATAGAACATTTTAATTGATCCAAATAAAATGATTTATCAAGTTGATCAAATTTCTGACCAAAAATATGAAATTTTCTGTTACACTCAAGAGGTCAATTGTTCATTAGGAGATAAATCTGGTTAGTGGTTTTGTCATTATGCTGGGTGATAAATTTTGAACTATTTCTAAATGACAAATAAATTTTAGTATGTGCATCAATTTAGCTCTATAGATTATAAAAAATCGAAATAGTTTGATATATAATCCCTTGTTAATATCCTACTTAGCATAAGTGTTAAATTTGATCTTAATATATTTTAATAAATGAAGCTGTTTCTAACAATTTTGATTCTTTCCAGTTTACAGTTGAATCTATATTATGTTTTAAAGCAATTTTTTGACAAAAATCTCAAACTATTTTATCTGGTACTATTTTTCTTGCTAGACACATGAAAAAGGGCTTGAATAGTTGTGAAGTTGACATAAAAATTGTGTTATACAGCATTATTTCAGACTTCTCCTTAGAAAACGTGAGCGACGTTTAAAGCGGGCAATTTTAGGTCTGAGTTTCAAAGGTCGGAGCTCTTATAACTTGTTGAGTGTTATTAATAATTTTTTATTTCCTAAAGAAGAAAAAATGATATTTTTTGGTGTTACATTTTTCATTATAAAGTGGAGTAACTGAATACAATCTACTACGTTTTGTCAAGCATTTGGAATTAAATATTTGCCCATTAGCATTTACAAACAATGTAACAAGTAAAAATAATTCTTGCTTCTCAAGATGTATTCAAGAATTTAATATGACAAGTATTTAGAATTAAATATTTTATTTACTTAAATAAATAACAGTAAAAATAATTCTTAATAATTTCTTTTCTCTTCAATACTTTTGATGGCTCTCACAAAGTACACAAAGTGCAGCAAATATTATGTTTCAAGAAAGAAATCACTTTATCCGCATAATAAAACTTATTGGAAATTATTTATAAAAAATAAAATATAATAAAACGATATCAACCACATTTTTATATGGAATTATTTGTCCAATAAACAAAGTAAAAAATGAAAATCCTTCTTTTCAGTTCCTTATGATCAATTTTTTAAAGTAAAAGAGATAAAGTATATAAGTGCAAAAAGAATAAAGAATTGTACTTTCCGACAGTGAACGGTACAATGCAGAAAATAGATTCATTGTGGTTTATTCCTCCTCCCACTCTTTTCTTTATCTACTTTTCATACCAAGTGATTAAAGTTCCTATTAATCTTAAGTTATTTTTATTTGCATATATATTTCTATTCGGAAATTCCATCAGAACAAGTTCATTTGAGCTCATTTTTCAATGAAAAAAGAATAAACAATTTTCTATCTCCAAATGTAAAGAAAATCGAAAGCATTGAGATTTACTTTTTTTTTTTGCATGTAAGGATAATGATAATGAAAAAAAAACTTTTTGTGGTATTGGAGGAGTTAAAAATATCTTTATTAGTAAGATTTCCGGAAAAAATTTAGAAATAAAAAATGAGATCACTATAAATCTACTGAAGAAAAAGGAAATACTTAAACTGTTCTTAGAATAAATTGAAGCGTTAGCTGCAAAAAGGGCGTTAACTGAAAAAATATGTTTTGAAATCTCACGTTTAGAGTTTTTTTTTCGCGTATTTCAACATATACACATCAAATGAATCTGCTACCTGAAAGCCTCTCTTGTGCTCGTTTTTTTTTTATTTAATGTATTCCAAATGCAAAAGATGTGAAACGGGGCATTAAGGTTATTACTGCATTGAATCAAATACCATTTTTACTAGCTAGAGTGCTGGAAAATAAAAAAGCAAAAATATAAATCTACGTAATATTTTATAGATTAATCCATAAATTGTATTTTAACAATGAATTAATAATATAAATTGGTACACTTAACAATTAACAAGAGACATACTAAAGTGCTTGTATTTTTCAACAGAAGTTGAAAGTACAAAAGTCTTGATATTTTCTGTTGGCATCTCTTATGTATGAGATTTTAGAACTTTGAAATTGAGTTGCTGCTGGATTACTGGCATAAGGCCATGAGATCTTGCGGTTGCTCAGGGGATACAGATAAAAAATATTACTCGGCAAAATTTTATTGAACTCTTGGTGATATCTGATTAATTTTACGTGCTACTGACGCTAAATTAATCAGATTTTAACGTCAGCTCCATGCAGAATTAATCAGATATTTTATATAACAGTTGGTATTACTTAAAATAAACTGATGAATACTAACTCTATTCAAATTAAAATCTATTGTATTTAAAACATTTAATAAAGTCACATTCTAGAAGCATTTATCATTTTAATTTTATTAAAAATATCATTTTATTTTAATCAATCATTGAAATACTGTTAATTTTTTATCATTACTTTCAATATCATCAACATATTTAATAATTAATCTAATTAAAAGTAAAATTTTTTGAAATTTAAATATTCTTTCTATAAATAAGGAAATGATTAATCTTTACAACTTTAAATAGCAGATTCTTTTTGAAGTGAATAAATTCTCAAAGTTTTAAATACAAATAATATTATTTCAATAGGTTTTCCTGAAGTCTCTTGATCTAAATAAAAAAATATCAAACGTAAATAATATTATTTTATTCAAAACTTGTTTGCAATAAATGTAAACAGCTTTCTTATAAACTTAAAAACTATATTCTCTATTATTTTGCATAGAAATTAAATTTTTAATATCTTTCCAACATAATTTAAAGAGAGATATGTTAATACTTCTAATAGAAGCTCATACGATCTTCCTTAAAGCTGCATAACCAAATTAAAAATCATTTTCATAAACAAAGTAAAATGCTAATTTGTTTCATTCAAATGCATTAATGAATTTATTAAATTAATTTATATAAGAATCATGGTAAAGTTTCTAATTTTACCCAATGCAATTCTAGTGTAATTCCATAGAAGCATTAATCAAACTACTAAAGATGCAACTAAGAGGATATCATTGTTTGACTTAATTTAAAATGTTCAACAAAGCTCAAAACAGCTGTAAAATAACAAGCTATTTATTTTTACAGTTGTTCCAAAGGAGACTATCTCAAAGTTTTTCTTCATTTGGAAACAATAGGAGTTTCTGAGTACACACCTTGGTCCGGTCTGCTATGTGGAACTTTAAGAGAAATACCACAAGTTCTATATAGCTCTAAATCCAGTCTGATCTTTGAGCTGCACACAACTCAGGGAGAAATTTCAAATTCGACTGGATTTTCTGGAACTTTTCGTTACATTGACAAACGTAAGTATTCTTATGTTACTTAAGATTACGATACCTATTGAATGAATTTCCTAGTAAGTTTGCTTGTTATAAAACATCTCACTCTAACTAAATAAACTTAACAGTTCAATTCAATAATTTAAAAGCCTTCTAGAAATTTAATAATAATTTTTTATTGCTACAAAGACAGAGAATATAAATCTTATTTAAAGAGAAAAAAAGTTCCTTAGCTAAAGCATTTATCCTAGATTTTCTATAAAATTCGTTTTTCTACTCTTGGTGGAGTAACATTTAGTGCACGCGAATTACAACTAATCGCATTCGTACGAGCCTGACCAGCAGGGTAAACTAGTCGTCCCTGTATCTCTTGTTAATCTATGTGCTGTCGGATGAAATTATGCTAATGAAAGTTCGTGCTGCTGTACCACTTTAGTCCATCGTCTACAATCTTTGTTTTTATTTCAGATTTATTTTTACACTTTGTTTTAACGTTTACCCTATATTTACACCAACACTTTATAAGCTTACATCACTCTAAAAGCTCTATCATATCTTTTTATTGCACTTTTATCATAAAATCAATTTTTACTAAAATTTAATTAAATTAATCTGAGGTTACATCGTAAAGCATAGGCTTGAACATCAGTATTTGTTTAATATAATGAAACGTTGTTTGATGTTGTTTTCAGTGTGGTTTGATGGATTTTAAACACCAGAGTATTAATCAAAATAATTCACAATCATCACATGTTAATTTTCCGAATTTTTATTTCTTTTGAGGAGTGAATTTGTTAAATTGTATCACGAGTTATTTAGATAAATTGAATAATATTTTAGAGTTTGAAAGCGGAAAGTTTTGGCTTTGGAGTCAAAAGATTTACAAGTTGATTTATATGTGCCAGCATTATTCGCGAAACACGCGGAAATTCATAATGTCGCCAGTTTGCAATAGGGTATGGTATTGAAAGTGGAAAAACTAGAGTGCTAAAAATTCTTTGAAGAGTAGAGAAAAATAGAAAAAAAAGTTTGAGTAAAACTCTGCAATCAAATTCAATTGAGTCTGCAGCACCGGTCGCACGTATTTGTTCAGTGAGGGTTGCAAGAAAAGGTGGGTTAGAACTGTTAGAAGTAAGGAAAAGAATGGCTCTATATTGGCGTATATTCAATGTTCGGTACGCCGCAAGGCGTGTTACAATGGGATTACGAACTACAAGTAAAGAGAACTGTATACTAGTGAATGTACTACTTTGCTATATTGAAAAAAGGAAAAAATTGTTTTCAGAAAATTTGTAAGGAAAATCGTCACTGAAATACGACAGTCAGGAGATAAGTAAATATTTCGTTCTTTTCAGACAAAGTTGTTGGTAAAAGGTTTGAGATCAGTTGGAGAAAGAGAATATTTTTTTGAGTCTTAGTATAAAATAATTATAATTTTTATTGATTTATGATTAATTTAATTGTGCCCTTTGAATAACAACCAAGTGTGTAATTGACTCTACTCATGAGTAATAATCTCTAACAATATTAAAAATTGAAACAATCGAAATCAATAATTTGATTAATTGACTCAAAAGTTGTGTATAGTTACGAAAAGACTTTGAGGATTTTATCAAATTTTTTTCTTCATTTAAATTCCATTTAATTTTTAATCTAAAGTCTTATACGATCAAAAGAACAAAGAATATTTTTGTGAGTATGGTTCGTAGTCAACTGTTCTCAAAGAATCAGAAGTTGCCCACCATTAGACCACTGTTCAATCGATATTGTTCAGGAATCGGAGTATATATTTCGCAAGGGCAATATAGGTTAATGTTGTGATTATATTATTGACAGAAATAAATATTCAGTCTCACTATTGGCTTGTATGTAAATGTAAATGTTACCTAAAAAATGTACATACTTATTTAAATATCAAAACTTTAAAAAAAATATAAAAAATGAACGATACAAGTATTTATATACAGTTTATCATTATTGTAGTGATACTATAAGAATCGAATTGAGATAAAAAATATTTTATTACTTAAGTTCTTTTCAATAATTATCCATTCAACTACTTTGAAAATGATTTAAAACCACGAGGAATTTTATTAAAAATTAAACTCTATTGAATTATTCAAAATTACTCTGAGTAGTTAAATAATTAGATTCCCTGCTGATCATTTATTTATTAACAATATTAAATATTTCTCTCTGGCAATGTTTTCATCGAGAAATTTTAGCTTCTACATCAGACACCTTGTGTAAGGATTAAATATTTCAGAAGTGTTTCCAACGTTGCACAAACTCAATAATTATCACTCTTCAATAATTATTTATCGAAACATAAACAAATAATGATTTAAGTCTATCAGGATTATTTTTATTTAAATACTTTATGAATAATGAAATCAATAAGACTTATTTGGAATTATGCAAGAAAAAAAATAATGAAAAAAGGTAACCTGAAAAAGTCCTACCTGGACCAGATTTTCTTCATTTATTTATTACGTGCCCGCATAATGATGCTGGATTTTTAAGATCTATATCATAATGCAAACTCAACTGATGTGAGTGTACATAGAGTCTACTGTGATGTCAAGGCACATGCGCGGTATACACATGGTCAGCCGGGATTTCTATATTCGCACACTAGAACACTAAAGCCAATGTATCCTTAGACATTTATATCTAAACTTAGGCATTACACTGAGCCACAGGACGTCAACTCCTAAAGGAATAGAATAGATAAAATAGCTGATAAAAAGAACAAATAGTAATGTCGCCATTTAAATGTACGCACGTACGCACATCATGTAGAGCAATTGACAAGTCACGATAAAGTTCGATTTCGATTTGAATATTTTAAGTGAATTTCAATCGCAATCTAAAAATAGCATAAGTTTATGGAGCAGAAGTTCTATCTTCACAGAGAATATGTAGTTTACATAAATTCCTTATAAATTATAAGCGAAAAGCCGATTTTGTTGACGTTTGTTGGCTCAAGTTGCTCAGATATAGGGCAGACTACAATTCCTTCTTGCAGGATGTGCAATTTGACGAGAAATCTATACTGTCTGTGGAGTGATGATAATCGTTTGGTGCCAATTGTACCACATGATTTATTACTTTTTTTTTCATTATGATATATCATTTTACTTATCAAAATTGGAAAATGGTTAAGTTTTTACAATGATAATAAATGATCAAGTAAATTAATAAAATGAATCAAAGAAAAAAAATTTTAGGACTTAATGAAATAAATGATTAATTAGAGCCAATTTTTTTTTATTATCTAGAAATTCAAGTTTATATATGAAAGGGTGTGTTTTATTATTTATCAGTGTAATAATAAAAATTGTATGAAAAGTACAAAAATGTCTTTCAATTATTTTTTATGACCAACGTAAAAAGCCTCTATGGAATTGAAAGAAATATTCGTTTAAATTTGTGAAGAGTAGAATTTTTAAGCTTAAACTTTTTTCTTTTATTTTTCTTTCTATTCATTTTTTAGTGTTAAGTTCAATTTTTTTTCATGATTTTTTTTCTAAATTATCTTCTCTTCATTGAAAAAAAAACTTTTGACTTTAAGCACTCATAATTCGTAAACGAATGATTGTACTTAAAGTATTTATCTAAGGATTATTTTAAAAAAGTTGTAATGTGCTTTTTTGAATATTTATAAGTATTTTTTATATGCAAATTTTTTTAAAATGCGGGTTTTATCATAAATTAAAATACAGCATTTCAATAATTCATTATTTTGCTCTCCTAAACATCGCCAAACGAACACGAGTTCGGGCAAAGGTTTATTTTATTTATTATTAATGATAAAAAAAATCTTTAAAAATTTTTGATAACTTAAACGGTAATTAGAATGATTTATAAAAAAATTTTTTTCAATTTTTATGATAAATTTTTACTTATAAAAACAGTTGAGTAATTTTTGTTATTTCTTTGTTTCATTTTTATCTTCAGGATGATTTCATGAATTATTAAAACTTCGTAGCATTTAAAAAAATCCCAACATTTGTTTCATGTTACATCGGCTTTAAAAGACTAGGGATTATGAGCCCAGTTAATCAATACCTGTAGAGAATGCATTTTTTTCTTTTTCTCGCATCATCTTCTTTACACCATTTTTTTTTCTGTGTGTAATGGTATCTATTTTTTTTCGCCAATTTTTTCACTCTCCAACTTTTAGCATTGTAAAATCACATGGTCATGCTTTATGATAGTGCATTTTCAGTTGACAGTTAATGGCTTGCGATTATTTTTAACAAAGAAAATTTCGATACAAAGTCAAAAACAATTTATTTATCGAATACCATTTTTTTTTATTTACTCTTCTCCTCAACAGACTCTATAAGCGATGCTTCATAAATTTGGTTTCAGTAAAAAGACAAATAAATACATCAACTATCAGTGATAGAATATTTTACCAAGATTCAAGGGGGTCTTGAAATTGTGGTAGATTAAAAACATTCAAAATGAGCAAATAATGAAGCTTGTAGCATCTTTAGAACGAAAGTTGTGTGCAACTTTGCCTTGAGTATTTAATATGCATTTTTATCCTTTGTGTTATTAATAGATAATTATTTTTAATGAGAAAATAATCGTACTATGATCTTATAAGTCTATAACCAACTTAATGAAAATTCAATTTTGGTAAACGTGATAAAGATACCTAAGGTATCTTTTCACGTGAATTTGCTCCTTTAGACTAGAGCTTATTCTGAGTTGACATTCATCCAGATTAACTATGTTCTTTATTCTATAATAACATTCAACCGGCTTATGGTAAATCCTTTATCAGTTGAAATGATAATACAATACTAAAAATCTATCTTAACTATTTTAACACAGAAATTATTTTAAATCTAAATAAGAATTTCATTATTTTCATTATTTATCTTGCCAACAGCATGACGTGCCTATTTTCTTTCCCACTGCTTTTTTCTATATTTTTTTCTCATTTTTGTGTTTCCCTTGTCTCTGTAGACATGTATATTCTTGTATTAATTTACTGTGTCACTTCCACTGACTTCTAGTTTGAAATCTTACTTACACAAATAAGAATTAAATAATTAAATAAAAATGTTAAAAAGTAAATAATGAGTTCATTACAATTATGTACGGTTTTTTTGAAACAATAATTATTTATTGTGCATCGAAAATAAACATATTTATGTGAATAATGAAATACTTGTTTTACATTATGAATGTTTGGTAATATTCCTTCAATCTTAATACTTTTATATACCACTATAATTATTTAAAAAGATAATGTGTCAATAAAATTTTGAAATAATCAATTTTGTAAAGACAACTATGCGTTGTTATATTTGATCTCAATTATCCGAGAAAACTTACGCTTGTTTCCAAATCACGTAAACGTGAATGACCCACGTATTCACAATTACAGTAGATAATTTTATTGAATTAAGTTTAATTTGAAAATATTTGACTATCAACGTCATTACCCTGAAATTTCAATCAATTCATTAATTAAATTTGTCTGAGAAGTATGGTAAAGTCACAATATATAAAAAAAAATCATAACTTGTTCGTAATATATGTTTTCAGGAATCTTTAGTACAAGTGGCAAACTGTTGCCGGGGACAATGTGTGACCACGAGTTTATTAGTTCTCAGACGACCCCACAACATGGCCGTTTTTATTCACCCCATTATCCATCATCTTACCCAAAAAATCTGAAATGTACATATCTCTTTCGTGCAAGGTATTTCTATTATTATTATTATACAGCTTATTATATCATTGTCATTATAATTAACACAATGAAAATATTACCAGCGTTCTTTTACAATTGTAAAGTAATGATAAAAGAAGAAATAATGAAGTTTTCATAACGAATTCCTTTCATCATTACCGTTTCTTATGTTAACAAAAGAGATAGAAAATTAGAAAAAAAAATTCTTTAAAAGCTATTTCCTCTTTTTGTTGAGTACTTAAACTTTCTATCCAGCTAATATATTCAATTTTAAATAAAAACTGGCGAAATAAAAAACTCAAAGTGATAAGTTTGCCAATGGCTTTTCAATAGCTTTAAAAATATTTAAAATATCAATTGTAAAATGTTTCATTCAATAAAAATTTTGATCAACATGATAACTTTTTATGTGAATATTTTCTGTGCTCCAAAAATATTATTATTGGCAAAAAATTTGAAAGGTAATTAACATTTAGTGACCTTTTCATTCAACCTTTTATATTTTTTTAGGTTGAAAGAACGTATTCGGATTATATTTGAAGAAATTTTTCTACAGAAAGGAGACTTGAGGTAAATACAATTTTTATTATGAAAATTTTGTTAATAGAAATGTTTTAAGAATAAAATAAATTTAATGGAATGTTCATTGAGGCGTGAGAGTAAATAGCACACTTATTGCTAAAGTCTACAGTCATTGACAATTTCAAGTTGAAATAAATGAGAATAAAAGGAAACGAGTGCTAATAATTGTACTTAATGTGCCAATTACTGTGTAGTTTACGCTGGCAATAATGGTAATACACTGTAGTACACGTTGTGAAATGTGAGCAATGTTGTAGCTACTCATTATCGATAATATTCAATTGAGCTATTTTTTTTTTTTTAAATAAATATGCAAACATTAAGAAAGTAGATGTGTTACTTCATCATTACAAAATTAAACAAAAAGTCATCATCCTGGTAATTACTAATTACAAACAGTATTTATCAGTGAATAAAATGATATGTTTCGTCATTTTCATCACAATTTTCTTCTGTTGACATTTGCTAATAACGGTATATCAATTTCTATACATTGTTTACATAACATATTATGGCGACCCAAGAGATTAGCGAGGTTGAGATAAATGTTGTGAACCTATACTTCGACATTATTATGCGTGGAATATTATTCACAGAAATTCTAGGTACTCAGACATCAATGGAGAATGTTTGTTGAATAAACATTTTTAATACAAATGGTATTTAGGATTGGATAAAATTATTCTTAAACAGAAAACAATTTGTTGTGCTATATAATGAAGACAGAAAAAGAACAGAATGGATCCAGAATGATAACAGAAATGCCATAATTCTGAATTCACTTTGTTCTTATCCTGTCTTCATCCATATTATGTTGTACAAGTATTATTGTTTTATTTAAGAATATGATAATCAAGTTATTCTTGATCCAAAAATATGATTTTGTTAGTATTACTAGACATTAATTATTTGCTTGTTGTGTTATTTTAAAGATAATTAAAATTTCAAAATCAAAAAATGATAGTGCACTTTTGGCTTTGGGCAGACTTTAATCAGACTAAAAGTAGAATTTTAAACTGATTTAAGGCTAATATCATACTTTCAGTTAGATTTAATTAGTCGGATTTCACTTGAAACCAAAAATGAAGTACTTCTTGATGATTAAAATTTAATCTATGTTTATAAAAGCTTTTAATAAATTGATGTTGTAATTCTTAAAAAACAAAATAAAAAAGTGGGTGCTGTAGATATTTATTAATGACAATAATTTATTATTGATAATCGCATCCTTTCATTGATTGCTGTTCCTATGAAGGATGATAAACTTCCTAAACTTGCTATTGATGGTGATAGGCTTGCAAACTTACTTACTATTAATGAGCGTTTACTTTGTTTGCTTTAATTCAGATTAGTTTTTAGTTATTTAATCTTGATAAATTATAGAGAAATTGATACTTCAGGAAGTATTCATGATTTTACTTGTGGTAAAGGTTTGATTTATTCTGATAAAATGATATCTTATAAAAAACTTAGTAAAAACAAAAATGATGAGTCGTTCCTGCTCTATTAATTCTTTTATAGTGATATTATAAATTGTGATACATTTATGTTTAATGTGAGCAGCATAAATTAATCCGAGTAGAGGTTTTATAGTTGAACAATAACTACTGGTATGATGATGTCATAACAAGAGAGAATAGAAGTGATATCGTCCAAAATGAATGGAATAATATTGGTTGAAAGGAAAACTGGAGAACGATCATATGTTTAGCTTATCCAGCTGATACGCCTGTTTGATCGAACGAGTTCCAATTGAATGTTGCAAAGTAGTCTACTTCAAAGTAAAGTGCTCGCGTAGATATACTTGAAAAAAGTTTAAGCAGAACATTTTTAACTTTATAATTTTGTTTCTTAACTTTATTTTCATCAAATCCTTTCATCCATGTCTTTTTCTACCTCTTATATGCACTGCAATTAAATTTCATTTAAAAGATAACTGAAAGTTAACTTCGCGGCGTTTATAATTTATTTACGAGATTGCGAAAATGTATATTAAACTACAAAAATACATCATTTTAATTAATAAAGTATCAAAGTACTTTTTAAAAATAAAATTTATGGGGTTCATTTTGTTATCATTAACAAAACTTTGTTAATGAAGTCAAGTGAGACGAATTTAATGAACAAATCAAAAATAATAGCTATCGTTAATGCTTTATTATTTTTCAGTTTTTAATGAATATCATGAATAATTTATTTAATGAAGTAAATAAGCTTTATCTATTAAATAAACATTTTAAACTGATTTGAATAAACATTAAAAAATGTTCTTTTCTCTTGATTTTTATTAATTCTAAAAAACCAAATAAAATCTATGTTAACTCGATCACTTACAATGCATGGCAGAACGTAAAATAATTGCAAATAGTTTAGGTCAGTGATTATTCTCAACTTCATATTCATCTTTTTACTACTGTCTTATAGTTTCTTCATCTGTTCAAGAAATTCAACCACGATCTGTTCATCAATCACTATAATATAAAAGTCTTACTTGAGTTTTGAAACCTTTATTCTATCTCTTTTCAGTTACTATGCTTCCCTTATTTTTCTCTGTCGTCCTTTGGGAGAGTAACATATACTTTTTTCTCAAAACTTTTGTAACTACTTCATCCCTTATCGTCATGCTCAGCAACTCAGCAAAGTGCTGCTCAATCCCAATACGTGTCGATAATACTTGACACAAAAAAACAGTGAAACCGATAATGAATCACGAAAAGTTGTTGTGATATTTTTTTTGTCTTTTTCGCCGTGTAAATAACTTTATTAGTTTTATCATGTAATCTCTAATAATAACACGTACGGTGAATAATGGTAACGATTTTTAAAATGCTTGCTTTTACCTCAGATTGTTTCAGTTATGCGAATGTAATTCTGTTCTAGCTGTTTAAACAGGGCAGATTTGATCAAAGTTCATGATGGTATTCATTCTGAAACCCCGACAATAGCTGTGCTATGTAATGAAGCAGCGGAAGTGGAAGTACTCAGTACAGGACCAAACCTTTTTATTGAATTCATTGCTAATTCCGAATGGCCTGGTCAAGGATTTAAAGCTGTTTTTGAATTTCAACCACTTGATTTCCGACAATTGGGTGAGTTTTCCATTTGCATATGTAACTATATTTCTTCAATTTATTGTTCAATTTGAATGAGACAAAATTTAATAGGAAAGAGATTGCTGAAACTGCTAATTGAGATTGAGAAAAGAAATTTGAAAAGATACGATGTCAGCACCAATATCTTATCAAAGATTCTATTAAAACTCAAGCCTAGAACTAGTCTTTGAGACTTTTGATTCCACGTAATACTGCAAGTTCAAAAAGAAAATCTACTAGCATTGGATCTTAATTCAATCAAGCTTCATTTTCGAATTCCAATTAGTCATGTTGGATTTGTTGCATTGTATTTTTTATTTTCGATCTCAGACTTGGAATCAGAAGCTTGAATAATTACTTCAAAGAAAGTCTTAAATTTAATTAAGAATATCTGCAAAAACATGCTTAGTTGTAACTTTAAATTTTGCAAATAACTTTGTTGTCTCTAAAAATCAATTTACTAGAAAAAATTAATTGTGTTTTTGAGAATATTTTTGTGCTATATTGAAGTAAAAGTCGACAAAGAAGTGATAATTTTTAAATGACAATAATTTGCAGTAAAGTTGATTTTAAAAACAAATAGTTTCTAAGAGACTGTCAAGACTTCAAAAAATAAACTTGTATTGGAAAATTTTTCATTTTCTACTTTTCAAAAAGTCTTCCGTCTTAAAGTTCAAAAATAACTTATGTCATTTTTATTTTAACTTTTCTCTAAATTTAGCGATCTGTCAATTTCTATTGTGCCTGACTATCAGTTTATTTGGACTACTTGAACTTCAATAAAAAATTCATGACATCAAATGACACTCATCTATTTATAAAACTATGTTATTCTTGTATACAGAAATAGATTTTGTTATTGTCATTTAAAATAAGAGCTTAGAGAAAAGGGAATTCAAATAAAGTTTTAAAAACACAGGAATAATGGAATAAATGAACATATCCACGTAGGGATTACAGGGATTAAGCAAGGAGTCGAGCTTAGTTCAATATTGGACTAATCTTGACTAATCTCGACCAACATAGAGCAAGTATCAGTTTTTTTGTTTCCATGATAAGAGTATCTCCAGTAAGTATCCAGGGATTACATAACATCACAAATCAACAGTTGGTAAGAGTGAAATCACATTTTGTCGATAAAAAACTTTCAGGGGAGGATCGTTAAAACAGATTCTACTGGAAAAACGAAATTATCTTCTACTGATATCAGTCATTCCTACTTTAAACACATTTATCAACTTAACAACAAATGCAACCTTCTTTACCAAATATAAAAAATGAAAATTACAGCATACTTTTACGGAAATTTTTATACTGAAATTAATTTCTAAGCAGATAATTCACTACTTTTTTATTATAAAAAAGTTCTAATAATAAAAAAATCTTATCCACCATAACGAACTTTTTAAAATAAAGTTTTTAATATCTTCTTTAAATGGAAATAATATGTATAAATGGTTATTAAATGAAGTTTTAATAGATGAATAAATTAAAATATATGAATAATTAACAAAATCATGTAGATAGTGATTGAGAAACTATTTTTCCGAATGAATGAATGTTCTCAAGTTCCAAATATGCTGATTAAGTTAAACACATCAACAAATAAATGATTTATTGGTCTGTACATAGACGATATCTCATTCGTAATTAATTACATTATATATATGCATTCTAGAAGATAATTACAATAATGTGTTCCAGAGCCAGACCAGACAGTCTCAGGGGCAATCACAAGCAACCCTGGATACTCGGTCATAGGACCAGCCGCTGTTAGTGCTACAAGTAAGAGTAAAAATTTATTTGAGAATTTTAATCATGTCTTTAATATTCATATATCTTTCTAGAGTATCTAGATAACTTAAACATCATTTCATTGCATATTAAAGTCGTTGTCAGTATTTTTTTATACAGATATAGGACAAAATTTGAGGAGAAATTATAGTGAGATATTATAATTTTCCTAGCTATGGCTACGTGTTCTGAATAGCTCTTTTAATTGAAATACATGATCAATGTACTACATTGTATACAGGCAATATTCATTGAATGAACTTTCTAAAAATGAAACAGTGGATAACAAATTAAAAAAAAATTTATTATTGGTTAAAACATTACGTAAAAATGGATGAATATTTTGGCACAGATTCTAACTTCAATTAATAAAATGTAGTTATTATGAGTTTTACATTTTATTGAATTGCTTTTTATTTATTTAGTACTCATTGTCAGAACTATTGGATAAAGTTGATACTGGTTAACTATGGTATTTGCATTAATAAGTAGTTGAAAAAAAAATCATGGATTCGTATAAAAGGAGATTAATCACGTGAACATTTCGATACAAATCGGAATCCTCAAATTTTATTCCAGCTTATATAAGGAGCAGATGAAAAGATTCAATACGGTAAGGCATTAGGAAACCTGCTATTCTAAAGATTAAGGTGTCTATTGCAATTGCTTTAAGTCTGAGAGTCTAAAATATCTAAAAATGGCTTTCGTAAAATTCATTCAGCATGAATTGGAATGAAAATTAGACAAATTATCTGAACTATGAATATTTTTTATATAAATTATTGGAAATAAAAGATCACTCAATATTTTGAGTAAGAAGTGATTAGCGATGTATTAGTGATATATTCATTTGATGAATAGTCGAAAAAAGATATTTACAAATCTTGATTTTCATGAAAATTGCAACATTTAAAGCCTCAAAGTGTTTTCCGATCAAACGAATTTGACAAAATTTTATTGTTTAGATGATTCGCAAGAGCTTGCATGTAGACACGTGATTTTTATTTAACGAAAATATGAATATTGGACAAATGCATATTGGCAATGAAATTCATTGGAAATAGATAAATAATTAATTTATCAATGTTATTTTTTAAAATGTGCATATAGAATTATCTTCATTATTTAAATATTGAATTGTACTGAGTGCACTCTGTTTAATCAATATATTTTCTCTTTACGAAGAAACATTGAAGAATAAACTCAATATTCGTAATAATTTTTGCATCAAAATTGTTCCGTGACGTTAAATACTTTTTACGCATATAGATTCTAGTGGCAATTAACTGTTTGATCTTACTCTAAAAGCAATGATATGAAGCTTTAATCGAGAAAGCTCCAACAATGAGAAAAAATTTTTTTTATTGTTTTATGTACAATTCTTTATTCTATTTTACATCTACTGAATACAAACTTTTTGATAATGATCATGAATTTACCATTCCATTTTTATTCTCATCGGTCTGCAATAATGAAATTTTAGCTGTTTTTATTACGAAAAAATGTCGATAAATATTTTTAAAACCTTACAGCCGTTATTTGAATTTTTATAGAATATTTTTCATCAATATTATGGATTTTTTTGTTTTTTTTAATCAATTGATTTCATATATTTTTTATTAAAATTAAAAAAATAATAAAAATTCTAGCTCAACAATGAAGTCACTTTCATTGAACAAAAAAGACCTGTTTTTAATGGTGTTCTTTTTATAGTAATACGACTATTTTTCCAGAAATTATGAAGGTTTAAATTGACGAGTGCCTCTTTCCGGTTTATTGTCGATAATTTGGTCAAAAAAAAAATCGCATAAAAATTTAAAAAAAAAAGCTATCTAAAGGGAAATGTTCGGACTTGAAGATACTTTCCACAGATTGTCTCTGGAAATTCTTTTTTACTCTGAGAATACTTTTCAACTCCGAAAAAAAAAAAATAATTAGAGAATTTTTCTTCCAGTCCTTGGTAAATTGTCAAGAATGAACAGGAAACAATAAAAAAAAATTTAACTTTTATATTCTTAAATGAAGAAATATGCCTTTTTGAATGAATTTTAACTTGTCAAAATTTTATTAAATAAATTTTTTTCAAAAGTTAATAAATTTTTTAATTAGTGTTATTTAAATCACGAATTCAAGCGTTATAGGATACTTGACAACATTCACAAGTTTTGTAATAAAAGCTCAGGATTCAGGTTTAAATGTAAACACGATAGATGTTAAATTACAAATGGAATAAATGAAAAAAAAGGGAGGTAAGAGAGGTCAAGAGTGTTGAGTTAGTATCATTCAGTGACTCGTTTAATATAGTCTCGCGTATATAACAGATGAAGAATATTAATGCAGAAAAGTGAGAGGATAAAAAGAAAAGAAATTAAATAAAATTAAAAGTCTAATAAAAATAAATAATCTTTTTCTAGTTTGTAAAAAATGAAGTTGGCTCGTGTAAGATAAAATGTATAATTGGCTTAATGATATATATATGTAGTTATTACAGAAAGTAAAAGTTTATTTCACAAATGATGTAATTCAAGAGATTGCGATAAATGAATTATACTTACTAGTGATTTATATGAGTGCTAGAAAAGTTAGTGATGAAAAGATAGAAGTAGACAGGAAAAAGTGGAAGTGAATCCGTTGGAACATTTGCTAATAACATCTTCACCATTTCAAGAAGAAGAAGAAGAAGAAAAACCAAGTACGTTTTATGACGATATTTTTTCTATAGTCTTTTTACGTTAACTGTGAATTTCTACTGCCTATGGTATAAGCTGCTGAGAAAGTAAAAAATTATTCGAAAAAAAAGTGATGAGATTTGAATTAAAGATGTTTGATTTAAAGTTTTCTATCAAGCCCTTTCTCATGGAAATTGAAAACGAGGTTGACTGTAATCAAAGTTTTTTGATGAATTTATGCATTTTAAAGATGAATGAGAATTGAAAAAAATTCTTTTATAAATATAAAAAACTGGCTACTAGCATTTGAAAAAACATCATTCTATTAAAACTCTCCATACGCTACATTTACATACGAATATATCTATGTAGAATTTGAACATGGATAAAAAGAAGATGCGTAACAAGAATAAAGAAAATTAAACTGCAATTAGTCTATAGACTTTTTTATCTATATAAAAGATCTTAGTAATTATCTTCAAAGTAGAAAATTAAATTTTTATCAAACGTTTTTAGGTTTAGTTTTTTCGCCCATCTTAAAATTTTTAATGTATCACTTACACTAAATTTATATTTAGTAGAATAAACATTAAATCGAAATAATAAAATTGTTTATCCGATTTTGACTTTATAGATGAAAGAAATTGGGACGCAAGACGACCCCCTTGAGGATTAAATCGATTTACTAGAAAGTAAATTGCAAAATTTTTAATTAAATTATATAGAAATATTTTTTATGGTATTCGGATTACTGATTCGAAACAAAAAAATATGTTGAAATATTTTAATTAGATTATGAGTATAGTTTATTTGATTTTATAAAGTTCCCTAAATTTGAATAATTATTATCAAAAGAAAATAAAACACTATTGTCGAATAAAATGAAAAATTTTTCATGTAATTGGATCTTTAAGTTACTTCATTTAACATTTTTTTGAATATTAAAGCTGTGTACTGTCACTGTATTTTACTTGGAGCATCTTTCATACAGAATAAATCCAATTTTAATAACTCTAAACTAAAACGATGAAAGTCTGATTTACGACTCTTATATATCTCTTGTCTTATATTATATCAAATTGGCTGATAAATTCCACAATCGATCAACTGCACTTAAAGCTGCTTTTACGGTTAAGAAGATTTCAAATCAGACAGCTTCTCATAATCAATTTTGGAGAAATCAATAGCTATGATTGAATAATATTCGCAAGAGGATACAAAAAACAAAATTGTTACAAACTTATTTTTGATTTTTATAGTAACAGGACATTTTTTTGTACATCTTTTTTTTTAGGAAAAAAAACTATAAAATACCCCACATCAGTGAATTCACTGATTTCCAGTACTATACTTATATTTAAAAAAGTGATTTGGATGAACAAAATCTACACTACCACATAAATTTCTGGTGCCTGTCTGTCATCAAATTTTTCAGACATGTAGAGGGGATCATCAGAAAGGTTAGAGGCTACTTTTGTTTATGGAAATGATTTATAACAAATTAATTTGTTATAAACAATTAAAAATGGCGTCTATGCAACATATTTGAATTCTTCCAACACGTAATTTTTTCTTTCACTAAAATAAAGTTACAAAGTGTGTAATATGAATAAAAGCCCGCTCCTTTTGTTTATAGTAATTGAATTTGTTGTAAAGGAGCAGAAATTAAGACTGACGATAGAATTCGAATTATTTTCTTTCATCATCAATACTTACGAATATATTTTTCACTTTTAATCCTATTATACAGCAATAGGTTTCCGGAATTGGCTTATTCGCCGACGAAGTCACGGAAATCTGCTGGTATTATTCTAAATAATTACTGTAAAGTTTTTTTATAAACTTTATTGTAACTTAAAATATCGAATCTAACTTAAAAATATTTTATTAATATATATCTATAGTGCTATATGGTGTCTGTCTGTCGAGGTAATCTCCGGAACGGATAATCCGATTGTGACCAAATTTTGCACACATGTAGAGGGCATTGTGGGGAAATTTATAGGCTACTTTTCGTTCATGTAAATTGTTTAAAACAATAGAATTTGTTATAAATAATGAAGAACAGGATCTACTCAATATATTTGAGTTCTTCCAACGGGAAATTTTTTCCTTCACTAAAATAACGTTACTAACCATGTAAAATGTATGGGAACCTATTTTTTTTTTATAACATAATTGAATTTGTTATAAACACTTGACAACGAGATCCATGCAATATATTGGAGTTCTTCAAATGAGTAATTTTTTTTTTTACTGGAATAAATTTACAATCCATTTAAAATGTTAGAAAGCTACTCCTTTTTTTATAACCATTTCATT